CTATTCATGTATATACAAAATATATAAACAAAACTAATGTGACAAGACAGACCAACTAAATTTATAAAAAGGAAACATCAATATATGTTCAAACCTTTCTATGTTTGCGTTTAGAAAAAGTAAAAAGTCGAGCGTTGCCCCCGCCCGGCGGTGGCTCTTGTTATGTTTCTATTGACTTGCAATTTACAGATTTAGCTCTGGGGAATTACACCTAATACATTGTACACAGCTGTACGATGTGCTTTTGTATTTTTTTAACTGTTTATGGTGGAATGTTCCTTTACTACCTACCACAGATTTTACAAAAATTAAAGTGTTTGTAATGAAAATCTATAAATTTAAAACAGTCATAGTAGCACCTGCCTTAATAAATAAATAAAGATTATTGCTGCATAATTAACATATATTTTTGTGTGGAATTATTTATATAATGATATTTAATTATTCATATAATGATATTTAATTGTTTTTTTGTTTGTTTTATTTTATTGAAATCCAAAAAAGACTAAAACATACTTGATTGCTTTTACATCCCATTCAGGCAAATTTACCAGAGCTAACATCAAATGGTGTTCAGCCAGGTTTTTCATATTCATGAATAGGTACAACATAATATGAGCTGCGTAACAACAAAACCAACATAGTGAGTTTGCGACCAGCATGGATTCAGATACTTCTGATACTTGTTAGTATTATTTTTCAAGGTTTAATTAACAAATGTAAAACAGATAAATGTCAAAACATTATTAGTAATTAGTCATATTGGGTTCTATTTTACAGATATCAAATCACAACAAAATCCTCACGTCTTTCATAGCAGGGGGCTTTGCTGGGGCAATAGCTAAAACAACGATAGCACCCTTGGATAGAACCAAGATCAACTTTCAGAGTAAGAAATTATGTTTGTCAAATCCATTTCTGGGCTACAGCACATACTAGTATCCATTTAAGCTTAATACTTTTCATTAATTTAGCAAGAATTGAGAAATGTTGGACACACCGATATGTATTGTATTGTAGAAATCTTGCTATGCATTGTAGTGTGCATATGCATATCATAAAGTTGTGATAATTTCACAAATTGTGATTTAATAGGAAAAAAAATGAGTGAAAAGCGTTGCAACAATTTTCATTTTTTGTTTATTTTGCACAATAAAAATGATTATCCTGGAAAATGGGTTAAGGAAATGATCTGACAATTTGCACAAGTTATTGAGATCTACATCAAATGGTACAAAAATCTTGGAAATCAGCAGGGCTTCCATTAAGTTTTAAAATTTGGAAGTCAGAGATGGCAAAATCTCTAAAATTGGAAGTCACAAGATACTGGGGTCCTTCATATTTCCCGGACAATCAGTTTACCGGACAAAAGCTATTACTGCTGAATAGTGCTTTATTTTTTGCTTCGATTCAAAAATCATACATTCTGAATTGTACACACACTTTCTATTTCAAAGTAAATAACAACAAAACCACTCTCAGGTAAATATTGTTGATTCAGTTCTTTATCTACTAACATGCCCTTTTGTTTACTAGTTATTTCATGACCTGGTCATGCGGGGGAATAATCTGTTCTGCGCAGGCCCGAATATGGAGACCCTTAATGGTTTTTTTTTTTAGATAGGTTTTACTTTTAATTCTTCTCAGCGTTATCTCAAGAGACAATCGTTACATATTTTAATGATAAAAAGAAATTTTTAATTTATTTCAAACAATATCTTGTTGTTGTCTTTTACAAAGAAATGCAAATTAAAAAACATGTAAGGAAACGGGTTACGCCCATGGGAGGAAACTCTACATGAAATGTACAAAAAATAGACTTTATGGCTTTTGTGACATGCTACATGATGACAAAAAGGAAACTGTATGACAAAGAACAGAAGAACAGAATTCCATTTGAATATAGAAATGTTTCATACTTTTGATCTATACGTTAATTGAGTTAATAGTTTTAATTTCAATTACACCCTATATATTGGCCTCTTCATAACAGGCATGACTGCCGTGTCTATTTCTAGTGACATACTGGGTTTTTCAAATATCTTAACCTTGCCATTCAATAGTGATAGCTTCCTTGCTGGTTATTTTAAGATTAATTTCAATTCACGACTTCAAAGAATTTTGAAACGCAATGTCCGGTAAATTGAGTTGTTTACATGATTTTTTCCCTCTTATAATGCCCTACTTTAAAGACACATTTCTACGGTCAAATGTTTAATGTCATGATTGATAAAGGAATGTTTACGTGCATTAAGAACCCAAAATTATTTGGGTAAAATTCCATTATTTTTTATTATTTTAAATAAAAGTTACAGATAAAAAACTTCATATTTTGTCTGGTAATATGTAGAACCCCAGTATAGGTAAAGAAGGAAAAGCACAAAATTTTGGAAGTCACAAGCCAAAATCAAGGAGTAAATGACTCACAAACTTCCATTAGTGGAAGCCCTGAATCAGTTTCCAGTCCCTTCATGACAAAGAACCTCAGTGGAGTACCTTTAACATCATTTTCAAACACTTTTATTCAAGGATAAGTGGAGCTATTCTGCTGAAATGTGACAGCATTGATATACAATGTATTGTAGTTGAGATGTTCTTTTTAAACTTTTGTTTTCCAATGCAATTACTTGCAGAGTATAAAAAAATAACAAATCTGAAAGTTGTATTGGTGGGATAGGAAAATATTAATGTATATTTGTGTTTCAGCCTCCAATACAATGAGATTCTCATTTAAGAAAGCCATACAGTTCCTCATCAAGACTTACAAAAGTGAAGGATTTCTTGCCCTGTGGAGGGGCAACTCTGCCACAATGGTTAGAATAGTCCCATATGCTGCCATACAATATACTGCTCACGAACAATATAAACTGCTGCTGAACAAAGGGAAAAAACGAAAGTAAGTTTCATGTAGAAAATACATAGTTAATGTCGGAATGGAGAAGCCCTTGTCAGTGCCAGTCAACATATTTTTAAATATCCTCTTGAACTTGTCAGGGCTAGGGCTGGTGAGCAGAAAGTGTATCTTGGCTAGCTTTAACCTTCTCCAACCCTACAAGAATCATGTATTGGGTTTATCCCGCTTTTGTCGAGTTACAATAACTATGTTTTTAGATTATTTAAGGTGACAACAGACACTTTCCGTGGTACTCACATAAATGTCATTTAAACAAAGTCATTTTAGTAATAATTGTTATTTATTTAATCTTTGTGCATTAAATGTCGTTGATCATCATAAAAAATAACATATTTGAAAAAAATGCCTTTGTAAATTATTGATTTTAAATAAAAATCCTAAAATTTTAAATCGTCATATCAAAGTCATTTTTTATTTTTTTGTCATCAAACTTTTGGAAAATAACCATATTAATATTATCTAGGGAACCGTGTCTCAAATTTTTTGTATCTTTTCTCAAAAAAATATTACGTAACGTCAAACATTTTATACGACTTTTTTCACCATACATATTACGTAATTAAAGATAATTAAGTCGCCTATTGAGCAAACAAAAATCCCTGACACGGTTCCCTCCGTAAATGAATTTCCTTTCATGTGCTTTAAACCGCATGTTAATTGCTTGATTATTAAAAAAGTTATGCCGATTCAAAGTTAGTCCGACCCGCATCAAATGAAGTGTCATAAATCGGCTGTTCTCTCTCGGACCCCTACGTTTCACGCTAAATAATTGCATAATACACAAATATCGCACCAGAGAGGGTCACAAGTTGCGGTAACATACTCTAACAACATTTTATGACCCAGTGACATCTGACCAATTTAAAAGCTGCTGATTAATATCAGTTTATAGCCGAAATTTCTTCAAATCTTAACGTGATTTACTATCCGTCTGGTATCTGTCGCACATGTCTCGTGACTATCGGTAAAATTTGAGGCACTCAGTGGGGGGGGGGGGAATGGAACGCATTTGCGCACCGCTAGCGGGGTATTTAATTGTTTCCTTTTTGAAGTTTATTATTATTATCATCAGCATTATTATTGTATTATAACAGTGTCACTCTGCCTGTGTATTCGTGTATGAAATTCCGTTAAAATATAAAATAAAATAACAAAAAACTAAGCTTCTGACAGTCTTTTAAAGTCCATGGTAGATGTACAAATAGGAACGGGATATTATATATTTTTCCACCAAATTGATAATGCTTCACATATTTTAATAGAAATAAAAGGTATTACTCGATCTTTATGATCTGGCCTTCTTGACTTCTATTATGAATATCATCTATGCACGGCATAGAGATCCAGTTTCTACCGGGATAGACAATAAATTTCATACTTTGTCCCAGATTTATTAGTACTGTGTCCGATTTACTGGCGAACAATTTATTTTCACTGAGAATATATCTTAATATCTTTTTTTTATTTATAGAGAAATAATCATCCTTATACAATCTAAAATGGTTTAGAAATTTGTCAGGGACACCTTACCACAAGTCATATAGGCGTTCACATAAAAAATGTTGTCTGTTTTGTTGTTGTTTTACTTGACATTGTTAGAAAACGATGTTGAATGTAAAGTAAGCCCTTTAATCCGTACAAAAGTCTATCAACTCAACGTAATATCTATCAGATTAACGGGACAGACAAATTATTTTCACACATTATGGATATTTTAGCAAATGCATTTTTAATCAACCCTGTGGTCGTGCGATTTGCCGCTATGCTTAATTATTTATGTTTCATACATTATGTTACGTACATTGGCCGACAATTTCTTAATTCATAAAAAAGGCTAAATGTTGAGATATTCATAAAAGATGTACGTTAGTTGTACGATACATGTATTACGAGAAGTATGGACTAGTACGGACCTGTAATTCACGGATATATGGAACTACCGATTTCCCTCATTGATGCCTCAACAGGGGGCGGAGCGTTATCGATAATCGACAGGTTACGCGAATAGCAGATACAAATAGTATAGGTACCGTTTTAAAACGTTAAAAAACACATTTTTTGGACTAACTGCTTCCAAAATTAAATCACGAATGTGTTCAGAAAAGGTTGATAAATCTACTTAGCAAAAAATCTCATTTTAGGTATTTTCAGTTGATTCCGTTGTCACCTTAATTGGTGTTAATCTTACCTTTTCCACGAAAAAACAGTGTCTATATGCTGCTAACCATGTGACATCATCATAGGCTAACCATGTGACGTAATGACTGGAGAGTAAGGCTATATCCAGCTGATAATATAGACAGAAGCAGGATAAAATGATTTGAATGTTTTTCCTATGGACAACTCTGTCAAGACTTTATGTTGCAACACGTATAACTGAACAAAAGATTTAAAGAAAGGATATGTGTTAATTGATGTTTGAAAAAAATACATTTGTCACATTTATTTTAATATTATGTTTCTAAATGCAAGTTGTTAGGCCTGTAGGACCTATAGGATCTATTTATTACCTGTAGGAAAGGGAAATTTTAACATTGGTTACCTTGTAGTGGAAATATTGGGCAGTTTCTGCTGAACATACCTGGTACATACTATAGAGACAATATCCATAATTTGAATATTACATATCTTATTTTGCAAAATGTAAATTTTGATACTATGTTGTTATTCTCCTGTTTTGGCAGGTAAAATAAAGAAAACATCCTTTTTTTGTAAAGTAACAGTTTTTGAGCATCAAAATTCGTGAATGATGGGCATCTTGTATAAGAAAATTATTATTTTAAATTAAACATTATGTTAAATGTTGTTATCAAATAATCCTATGAAAAAACATTATTTTAAATTAACAGAAATTTGCCACCATTGTTGAGAGCAGCTGCAGGTTCTCTTGCTGGAGTAACTGCCACAACTTGTACATATCCTCTAGACTTTGCCAGGGCCAGGATGGCAGTCACTCATAAAAATAGGTAATATATTTTTGAATATCCTCTAGACTTTGCCAGGGCCAGGATGGCAGTCACTAATAAAGATAGGTAAAATATTTTTGAATATCCTAGACTTTGCCAGGGCCAGGATGGCTGTCACTCATAAAGATAGGTAATATATTTTTGAATATCCTCTAGACTTTGCCAGGGCCAGGATGGCTGTCACTCATAAAGATAGGTAATATATTTTTGAATATCCTAGACTTTGCCAGGGCCAGGATGGCTGTCACTCATAAAGATAGGTAATATATTTTTAGATATCCTCTAGACTTTGCCAGGGCCAGGATGGCAGTCACTCATAAAGATAGGTAATATATGTTTTAATATCCTCTAGACTTTGCCAGGGCCAGGATGGCAGTCACTCATAAAGATAGGTAAAATATTTTTAGATATCCTCTTGAACTTTTCAGGGGCCAGTCACTCATATGTTGATTATAAAAAATAAGTATTGATGTTTTAAAATATCCTTTAGGCCAAAAGGCCAAAATAACTAAAAAATGTTCTGTTTCACTGATGGCCACCAGGGTCAATACAGTTTCAGACCATTTGTTTTCAAAATTCATTATTCTCAAAATGTATCTGCCTTAACAACATTTTTTTTCAACCGACTGGAACAGCCTTTAAATAATGGAAACTCAGAGGCTAAAACAAATTTTACCACCAAACATAAACTCCAACTACATTTTTTTCTTGATCGCCAGAATGGAACTATATATTAATTCTTTGTACAATATTGTGTAAATTTTTTATAATGGACGGTTTTTCATTTAAAGACTTTTTAAACCATACTTCATATTATAACAATGCTCTCAGAATTGATACTATTTCCTAACTCTATTCCCCAAGTCAGAGGTGAAGACAAATTTAATATTGTAACATTATTAGACTGGCATATTAAAGATGAATATGTTTTTTTTGTATGTTGTACAGATATAGCAGTTTGATAGTATGTTTCCGGAATGTATTGAGGGAGGAGGGTTGGAGGGTGATGATGCGAGGCTACACTCCAACGATGTTCGGATCTTGTATATATTCAGGCATCAGTTTCTTTACATACGAAACTTTAAAAATTGTCCATGCAGGTAAACTTTGTTGGTTCTTGTGTTGATGTTAGTGCAGTGGCAAACTAGATACTAGAATTACTGTTTTAACACTGTATCAAGTGAGCTGTTTTGGATGCTAAAAATTATGATGAAGTTTATTATTCACTTGCAGCTTTATTTCTGAATTTCAGTGTAAACTTATACAATTCCTACATCGAAGGCTAAATGTTTTATTATCAAGCTCTTGAAATTGTTTGTTTGTGGAACAACTCATGCCCAAATAGTTAAAAATATAAATAAAACACTTCTTTGAATTCTGGAAAAAAAATAGACATTTCGTGCATTGTTTCATGGAAACGCATTTTTGTACCCCCTCTTTGGGGGGGGGGGCATTTAGATTTATCCTTGTCCATCCGTCCGTCCGTTCTCATTTTGTGCCGCACCTAGCTCAAACAGTATTTGAACTAGAGTCATGAATTTTTACAGGAATGTTGATCAGCATGTGTAGTTGTGCACCTGGGTATTTTCGTGTGGATATATTTAGTATTGGTAGAGTTATTGCCCTTGACTGAGTAAAAATTTACAATTTTCAAATTGTGTCGCATGTAACTCCAAAAGAATTTGACCTAGAGTCATGAAACTTTTCAGGAATGTTGATCAGCATGTGAAGTTGTGCACCTAGGGTTTTGCTTGTGGATTTATTCTGTTTTGTCAGAGTTATTCCGGTATTTGGATGTGGATTTTTTCAGTTTAGTTAGAGTTATTGCCCTTGACTTACTATAAATTTGCAATTTTCAACTTGTTCATGCATAGCTCAAAAAGTATCTGACCTGTAGGCCTGAAAGTTTACAAGAATGTTGGTCAGCATGTGTACTAATGCACCTTGGGGTTCGCTTGTTGATTTATTCAGTTTTTGTAAAGTTCTTGCCCTTTACAGGCATTGACACTAACTTATTTAGCAGGTGGTACGCTGGACCACTAGATTTGAAAGTTAGGTGGTCCTTCCAGAAGTCAGGTGGTCAGTTTTCATTATTATATCATTTTAATGCAAATGTAGAAAAAATGTTTAAACTTGATGACAAAGATGAATTATTAACCTTTAAAGAAAACAGATATTTTTAGATATATATTTTTAATCTAATCAGAAAAGGGAGAGCAAGTCAGTAGGTATTATTAGGAGTTATTTGTTTGTTCTTTTTTATCTCATTCAAAAATACACAACAGAGCTCTTATTTATGTTAACTTTTATATTGAAGCGATTTCTCCCTCAACTCAAGTTAGGGAATAGTGAAACCATTTGTGTCTGTTATTTTCTTACTGTTATTCAAATATTCATTGCTGATATGTGGTACGTCTTATAATCATGATAATAACATAGTATCTTTTATAGATTAACATTTTTAATGAAACTAATAAATTATCTTATTCTTGTCTTTGAAAACAAGGAAATATCTAAATTATTAAAATAATAACAATGTTATATATAACTATAGTTTAGCTTATTTTTCTCACAGATTTATAATACAGAATTTTTACCTCCCTATTGCTTGTTGGTTGATATTCATTTTTGACATTGAGTATTTTTAACCTTTTAAAGTAATTTTAACTCTAGAAGAAATAGATCTCTTATCGTTATAATATACAGTTAAAATAAAGATAAATAGCAAAGAATTACTAGACGTATTTTTCCAGTTCCTTTCGTTTGCTGCCGTTATTCAAGTATCTGAAACCATCATCGGATACTCACAGTTGATTAACTTGTAACATAACATAAATGTTAATGGTTCCGCCGTGGGTATCAGACGATGCATAATTACTACCATTTGAATGAATTTTGTACCTAAATTAATATCACAAATTCTGAACTCTTTACTTGCATAAACTTAATTTTAGCAACTTCAAATGAAAATTATTGATGACATAAGAACTTTTTTAACTAATCAGAAATTAATGAACCATATACATGTACATAGGACACATGATTTTAAACAAAATTATATAACATGTTTTTGACCAAATCGCCATTTTCCCAAATGAGCCTTACATCAACCAGAAAATTCAAGTGGTCAGACGGACCAGTGGGTTTTAAAATTAGATTGTCCTTGCCAAAATCAAGTGGTCTCGGACCAACGGACCACCGCTAATGTCGAGGCCTGCTTTACTTAGTAAAAGAGTTTTAGTTTTCAACTTGTGGCACATGTAGCCCAAACAATATTTAATCTAGAGTCTGACATAAGATTGACAAAACAGTTGAGTGTTGGGGCACCCGTGTCCTATGGACACATTTTTAGCTCGACTTTTCTATGAAAAGGGGAGCTATCCTACTCGCCCCGGCGTCGGCGTTGGCGTCACACCTTGGTTAAGTTTTTCGTACCACCCCACTTTATTTCAGAAGTATTACAAGTATGGCTTTGAAACTTACCATACTTGTTCACCATCATAACCTCCATCTACAGACAAGAGTACATAACTCTGTCAAGGTTTTTGACAGAATTATGGCCCTTTTTTGACTTAGAAAGTGTATTGAGCTTGGTTAAGTTTTTTGTACCACCTCACTTTATTTCAAAACCATTGGAGGTATTGCTTTGAAACTGACCATACTTGTTTACCATCACGACCTTCATCAACAGACAAGAGGACATAACTCTGTCAAGGTTTTTGACAGAATTATGCCCCTTTTTGACTTAGAAAATACATTGAATATGGGTAAAATCCACTTATTGCCTTAACCCTTTGAGATATTGCTTTGAAACTTTTAATGCTATTTCACATCATTACCCCCATCTGTACGCAAGAGAAGGTAACTCTGTCAAGGATTTGTTTTAAAAATTAAGGCCTTTTATCGACTTAGAATTAAATTTATTTAAGGCTCAACTCAGTTTTTTTTTCTTTCTTACCAGCCCTCTTTTGACTTAAACATTTCAAACTTTGCTGCAGTGTTCAAGGGTATCACACAATTCAGTAAAATAATTCTTCACTAAATATCTTAATGCTCATGGCCATTGTTCACTTTAAAAATACAGAGATTCTTGTATTGCCTTTTACTGCAAAAACTTTTTTTATTGGCAAGCAATAAAAAAGTCGAGCGCGCTGTCTTACGGACAGCTCTTGTTGTATTTTCTGATCGCAAGATCAGTAAATACATAGCTAACATCCACGGTCTAACACAAATTTTCCTAACAGACCTAACAACGCAAAGTAGTTCTCACTCAGAACTGCTTAAAAACCAGCAATTTAAAATAAAGAATATGTATGCATTTAACGAATTACAGTGCATTAAAACTTTAGAGTAATAGAAATTTGATGTTACAATCACAAATTTCGCGAATGAATATCTTTTTTACCCAATGAAAAATGTTCGGCTATTTTCGTAAAGCTTAATCAATGAAAATGCTATTTTTAGCTATGTCGATTACCGAATACTCCAGAGCGTAGTACACAAATAAATGTGACTGTCGAGTAATGGAATACTTGTCGGACTGTTTTGGCGAGATTTTCGCTACAACATTTTCATCAGTGTTTTACAACAGGTTTATCGTGAACAAAATACCTCGAAATTAATAAAGATTACAAATACGAAATGAAAATTCTCAATTTTAGAATTACAATATATTTGTTTTTATTCACGCTACATACGTATTACTTCACTGTGGTGCAGAGGTAGCACGCTCGTTTAGGGTGTGAGAGGCCTTAGGTTAAAATCCTTGTCGAGGCAACATTTTTTTTGAAGTGTCTTTTTTAAGGAAGTAGCCACGATATGCAAGGATAAAGTGTGGCTGTAATAAAAAATGAAAAATGATTTTTGATGCAACTCTAGGCATGCAAAATTCCATATGTATCAATCACAAACTGTTAAACGCAGTCGCTGCGTAAGATGAATAATAGTATATAAAAAATAAACTTATACAGGAAAGATCAGAAAATTCCACAGAGCATGCAGCCCTTTGATTAGTTTTATCTATTGTTCATTACAAATTATATCACACAATTACTATACTTAAAGCCTATATGAAATTTATCTTTCCCATTTTTGAAACAGAATATTCAAAGGGTGTTGACCCGACGCCCCTAGAACGTTGGTATTGTGGAGCTGTTGCGGGTATATGTGGCCAGTGTACATCATATCCATTAGATATTGTTAGACGACGCATGCAAACTGCTGGTAATATTTTTATTATTAACTAACTGATCACTTGATTTATTATTGAAATATTTTTTTCAGTGAGTATTGAACAAGTTGTATATTTATATGTAAAATATTTGTTAAAGGGTTTTTGACATGACAGGATTTGAAATATTTTTCTGAGATATGTGTTCTATATATGAGCCACGTCATGACAAAACCAATATAATGGGTTTGCGACCAGCATGGATCCAGACCAGCCTGCGCATCCACGCAGTCTGATCAAGATCCATGCTGTTCGCTTACAAACTCGATTACAAATAGAGAAACTGGTAGCGAACAGCGTGGATTCTGATCAGACTGCGCGGATGCGCAGGCTGGTCTGGATCCATGCTGGTCGCAAACCCATTACGTTGGTTTTGTCATGACACAGCTCATATGTTAATCTGAACCTATAACTTAAGTGCAAATTTTCAGGTCATTCCCGCAACTCTTAATTATTTAAATTGTTGAACCACATCTTCTTAATGTAACCAAATTGATAAAGATAGTGCTATGTTAAAATGTTTGATTCAGTTTGTTTAATTGTTGTGATTGGTGATATTAAGCCATGGAAATGCTTTCATTTTTATATCCCTAAAACTATTTATTTTTAGTATCTTGTTACAATTTCCAAAAAGTTACCCATGGCTATATAGATGAAATATCTTTTTCTTCTTTGACTATTGATATGATATTAGGGATTTAGTATTTTGTATGGAAGTCAAAATACTTCTTTGTTTACATTTTGCTACCTTTATGACCCATAACAGCATGTTCAGTGCTATTTTTTTCCATTGTGTATCATGTGCTCTGAAAGCCATTATTGAAACAATATAAAACACATGTTTGACCTTTCTGACCTTTTATTGATTTCTGAGTTACAATGTGCTTTTAAAGTGTTTACAATTTTTTTTTACAAGCTTACAACATATGGAGTATCTAACAATAAGCATTTTTAGCTCGACTATTCGATAAGAATAAGTAGAGCTATTGCAGTCACCCGAGCGTCCGCGGCGGCGTCGGCGTAACCACTTATGTTAAAGTTTTTGTAATAGTTCAAATATTTTCAAAGTCCATTGACATATGGCTTTGAAACTTTGCACACTTGTTCACCATCATGACCCCAACCTGTAGACAGGAGAAGGTAACTCTATCAAGCATTTTGACAGAATTATGCCCCTTTTTCGACTTAGAATTTATGTTAAAGTTTTTGTAATAGTTCAAATATTTTCAAAGTTCATAGACATATGGCTTTGAAACTTTGCACACTTGTTCACCATCATGACCCCAACCTGTAGACAGGAGAAGGTAACTCTATCAAGCATTTTGACAGAATTATGCCCCTTTTTAGCTCGACTATTCGATAAGAATAAGTAGAGCTATTGCAGTCACCCGAGCGTCGGCGTCGGCGTAACCACTTATGTTAAAGTTTTTGTAATAGTTCAAATATTTTCAAAGTCCATTGACATATGGCTTTGAAACTTTGCACACTTGTTCACCATCATGACCCCAACCTGTAGACAGGAGGAGGTAACTCTATCAAGCATTTTGACAGAATTATGCCCCTTTTTCAACTTAGAATTTACGTTAAAGTTTTTGTAATAGTTCAAATATTTTCAAAGTCCATTGACATATGGTTTTGAAACTTTGCACACTTGTTCACCATCATGACCCCAACCTGTAGACAGGAGGAGGTAACTCTATCAAGCATTTTGACAGAATTATGCCCCTTTTTTCGACTTAGAATTTACGTTAAAGTTTTTGTAATAGTTCAAATATTTTCAAAGTCCATTGACATATGGCTTTGAAACTTTGCACACTTGTTCACCATCATGACCCCAACCTGTAGACAGGAGGAGGTAACTCTATCAAGCATTTTGACAGAATTATGCCCCTTTTTCGACTTAGAATTTACGTTAAAGTTTTTGTAATAGTTCAAATATTTTCAAAGTCCATTGACATATAGTTTTGAAACTTTGCACACTTGTTCACCATCATGACCCCAACCTGTAGACAGGAGGAGGTAACTCTATCAAGCATTTCGACAGAATTATGCCCCTTTTTCGACTTAGAATTTTCGTTAAAGTTTTTGTAATAGTTCAAATATTTTCAAAGTCCATAGACATATGGCTTTGAAACTTTGCACACTTGTTCACCATCATGACCCCAACCTGTAAACAGGAGGAGGTAACTGTATCAAGCATTTTGACAGAATTATGCCCCTTTTTCGACTTAGAATTTACGTTAAAGTTTTTGTAATAGTTCAAATATTTTCAAAGTCCATTGACATATGACTTTGAAACTTTGCACACTTGTTCAACATCATGACCCCAACCTGTAAACAGGAGGAGGTAACTCTATCAAGCATTTTGACAGAATTATGCCCCTTTTTCGACTTAGAATTTACGTTAAAGTTTTTGTAATAGTTCAAATGAGCCGCGTCACGACAAAACCAACATAGTGGGTTTGCAACCAGCATGGATCCAGACCAGCCTGCGCATCCGCGCAGTCTGATCAGGATTCATGCTTTGCGCTTACCCAACCCTATTACAAGTAGAGCAACTGATAGCGAACAGCATGGATCCTGATCAGACTGCGCAGATGCGCAGGCTGGTCTGGATCCATGCTGGTCGCAAACCCATTATGTTGGTTTTGTTGTGACGCGGCTCAAATATTTTCAAAGTCCATTGACATATGGCTTTGAAACTTTGCACACTTGTTCAACATAATGACCCCAACCTGTAAACAGGAGGAGGTAACTCTATCAAGCATTTTGACAGAATTATGCCCCTTTTTAGACTTAGAATTTATGTTAAAGTTTTTGTAATAGTTCAAATATTTTCACAGTCCATTGACATATGGCTTTGAAACTTTGCACACTTGTTCACCATCATGACCCCAACCTGTAAACAGGAGAAGGTAACTGTATCAAGCATTTTTTTTACTATCAAGCACTAAGAATAGTCGAGCGTTGCTGTTCTACTGACAGCTCTTGTAGTTACATATAATGATATATATATTTTTCAGGTGTTACTGGCCACTCTACAGATTACACTACTATATATAAAACTGCTAAGACAGTTTATGTACATGAAGGGCTCAAAGGTGGTCTCTATAAAGGCCTATCTATGAATTGGATAAAGGGACCTATATCTGCTGGTATTAGTTTTATGACATTTGAAACAGTACGAATGTGGTTACGGAAATTCGAAGTCTTTCACATAGACAGCGATGACAGCTAGGTGTTAAGTTTATAATATTAAGAAAATATAAATTTATAATGTGATCCTATGTTAAAGATGTTATTTATGTGCACATGTGATTTAAAAAATGTTTATAAGAATGTTTTCTGTAGAAAGAAAAATGATTGTTTTGTTTTATGTTATGTAATTATTGATATTTGTTTTTTTATAAAAGTTTATGTATGAGTAGTGTTTGTTTACAGTCAAACCTTGACAAATATTTTGTCCGTTACAACATCTTAGAAAATTTTCTCATAGCAAAGTAGAATGTGCATTTTGATGTGAATGGCATTTTGTTACATCATTGTATCTTAACTTCTTATTTAAGGTTGGTTGTTGTTGTTAAAACTGCCAAGTGTATTGGTATTGGTAAAAGTACACAGGGTCAACTTTCATACTTTACACATGCTTTTCACATAGCAATTATTATCTCCCCTGGCTGCCATTTTTGGGGTATTTCTTATATATCATCATATGGTAAAGATGATATAAATATCTCTCTTATATCTATCTTCTTCATGAAAAGTTATAAAAAATATTTTACATACTGGTTCTATGATAACATGTAGCTTCATATGTATGAAAGATTTGGACAATTCACGTAAATAGACAGAATATAAAAATTTTTTTTAATTCATTATATAACATAGACTATCGCCCTCCAAAATGGCTTACACTTTTGGAAAGGGAGGTAAATATGGTAAAAGGCAGGCACTTCCTTTCGAGATTTTTTTGTGTGTGAAAAATTAGATGAGATGTATCACAGAAAAAGACAAATTGTTTGTCAAGGTTGGTCTGTAAAAGAACTAGTTGTTGGTTTATGTTTAATTAGAAACCATTAGGTTTGTGGATTGTTTTAATTATCATTGAATTATCAAAATATGTTACAGAGTCATGTTGTTATCCATAAACCAAATAAATCCAGCTTAAACTGAATATAATCAGCTTCTAATTAACGCTACGCATTAAAGGGAGACACAGGCAAATTTTTCATTTCTTAGTTTTGAATATTTCATTCATTATTCTGTAAATGCCCTCAAAATGAATATATTAGACAGTCAAAGAAACAAAACTTTTCTCCATATAAAGAATAAAACGGTGGTTTCCTAACTTGACCCGCGTGGGTCAGGTTAGAGCGCTAGGATTTCACAAAAGCTACCACAGTGAACTCTGGAAACGTTGAAAAACATGTCAAATGAATGACTTAGACCTTTTTGAATCATACAATATCCACACTGTCTGTTATTGTATTTTCAAGGGTTTGTCCAAATTACCTGACTTATTTTCAAAGTATTCGGTGATTCTATTGGCGTCTAATTTTTGTTCAATATATATATAGATATATTTACGCTTTAAACCCAAAATATATAGAATTTAAACAGAAATTCATGCTGAAACTTTAATAAATGTCATTCTAGCATGATTTGAGTGCATTAGATCATTTTGATATTTTTGTCATTATTTTGCCTGAATATCCCTTTAAGATCTGAAGTTCACAAATAAGAGGTCACCTTCTTGTGACCTTTCAAACAGCCAATCATCTGAGCTTTTGAAATTTTGAAAATAATTTGGTTTTTAATTTTCCACGATTTTGAGAACAAACATGGCATTGTCCATATAGTTGGCAGGTAAACTGGCAAAACAATCTTGCCCACTTACAGTTCACTGAGTATATTATTTCCAGTTAATTTGTTTCAAATTACTTCAATCAACAATTTGTTTTACTTCCTAAGACAGCGATATTTTGATATTTTGTCTAATGCCTATCTGTAAAGGACAATTTGATTGCATGGCTAAAAAAAAGCTGTTTTGCTAAATCAGAATCACAGTGAAAGTGAAACAAATACAATGGCAATCAGATCTACATGCAGGAAATAACTAGTGTAGATCTAAACTTTAGCCAGATTGAATTCAGCTTTGATACCTTGAACAGAGTGCAAATGATTAGTTGATCATAACTTAAATTTTGAGAATATTCTGTGTACTCAAAAAGCCCCCAGAGAAATAATAGGGTCATACCGAGCTGCTTTTTCTGAAGTTTTGCCTCAGACCTTCAATACCGTTCATATATTCTATATTACAAAGCAATTTTACAGTTGAAGATATTTTGTTGGCATGTTATCATTCCTCATATGCTATCACAGTTATATTTTCTATGATGAGTTATGGCCCCTTTTACAATAATTTCAACACTATTTAAGACAAAGATTACGGGAATATGTCACTTTTGTTTGTTAATGGCCTTGGGAATATTGTTCTAACAATTGCAACATTTTTACAAAAACTGGAAAATACGCATCCAAAGATTATATTTCGAATTTCTGTTGTTATTATTTTGTTATATAATGTACATGTATGTAGATATATATTCCAGAAAGTCAACCAAAGATTTTTAATGGGTAAATTGAACTAATTTATAGTACATTGAATTTATAGTACATTGATAGTATCAAGGTTTTTTCATGTTCTGACCTATGACCTCTGTTCAGATGAGAAAATTATTTGTAGAGTTATTGCACTTAGTAAAAAAATGCAATTTTCAACTTGTGTCTTGCGTAACTCAAAAATTATTTGACCTGGAGTCATGAAATTTTACAGGAATATTGTTCAGCATGTGTAGTTGTGCATCTGGGGTTTGCTTGTTTTTATTTCCTTTTAAGCATACTTAAGAATATGAAATTGAGATTTGAAATTTGTGAAGATCAATAATGGAAAAAAAATCAAGATGCCAACATGGGAAAAACTGGATGTTGTTTTTATGCCTGGACCATTTAAGGTAGGGGGGGGGGGGGGGGGTCATGTAGAATTTTCTTTGTCTGTCATACTGTCCTGCTGTATGTCAGTAGACTGACAAAATAGTGGAATGTAGGGGCATTCATATCCTATAGGCACATTTTTAGTTTCAATATACATGTGTATTTAAATAATGTTTTCAAGGTGAGATTTCCAAATTTCATAAGTTGACCCTTACATTGTTATGTATTGACATATCTGGAAAGGGTCATATGAGATATCTGAAATGTTTGTGTCATTATGAATGTTACATTTCCGTTCTAACATTGTGTTGATTCCTTCTACATAGATCCAAATTATAAAGAGCAAATTGTCAAAATTTAAATAAATGTTTATTTTGTAATATATAACTAAATGTAAGCTTGTTTTAAGTTGTAAAAGTCTTTTCTAGTTGCATTTTTTGCCACAGGCTTTTTGTATTTGTTAGGCATTATTTCTCACAATTTCTAATGTACTCATGTCTCGAAATCCAGATTTTAGTCATTTATTGCCTACATACATGTATATGAGAGATTTAATCACCTGCAAATATTATTTGACAGTATTATTATACATGTACCTCCTTAACATCAAAACTTTTTGTTTCAAAAGTTGAAACAAAATAGGATCAGGATCAAAATTGATACTTCAAATCTTACATGATGATTTAACAAAATTGCAGAAAAGTTTAAAGATATACTATGCTTAAATTTGATATATGAAAATTTTGATAATTGCTACATGGTCTCTTAAGCATGTTTTGACATCACATGATGTAGATATGTTATGCTTTAAATCCTACACATAATAAGTGGGTACAGTATAAATATATAGTGTCATTAAAAAAACTGGCTTTTTTTTTTAAAGAAATGACCAACTTTACTTGACCCGTATTAAGGAACGCATATTCCAATAGTTTGTACGTTTTTTAGCTCACCTGTCACAAAGTGACAGGGTGAGCTTTTGTGACCGCTTTTCGTCCGTCGTCCGTCCGTAAACTTTTACTTTAAATGACATCTCCTCATAAACCACTAAGCCAATTTCATCCAAACTTCACAGGAATGTTCTTTTGGTGGTCACCTTTAAACATTGTTCAAAGAATTTAATTCCATGCAGAACTCTGGTTGCCATGGCAACCGAAAGAAAAAACTTTAAATATCTTCTTTTAAAAAACCATAAGAGCTAGAGCTTAGATATTTGGCATGAAACATTTTCTAGTGAGTGTCAACCAAGTTTGTTCAAATAAAAGCCCTGGGGTCAAAATTGGCCCCGCCCCAGGGGGTCATTGATTTTCCACATATGCATATAGTAAAAACTTAAAAAATCTTCTTTTAAAGAACCAAAAGAGTTAGAGCTAAGATATTTAGCATGAAACATGTTCTAAAAAGTGTCTACCAAGTTTGTTCAAATAAAAGCCCTGGGGTCAAAATTGGCCCGCCCCGGGGGTCATTGATTTTCCCTATATGCATATAGTAAAAACCTTAAAAAATCTTCTTTAAAAGAACTCAAAGAGCTATGGCTAAGATATTTAGCATCAAATATGTTCTAATAGGTGTCTACCAAGTTTGTTCAAATAAAAGCCCTGGGGTCAAAATTGGCACCGCCCCGGGGGGTCATTGATTTTCCTTATATGTGTATAGCAAAAACTTAAAAAATCTTCTTTGAAAAAACCCAAATAGCTAGAGTTAAGATATTAAGCATGAAACATCTTTTAGTGAGTGTCTACAAAGTTTGTTCAAATAAAAGACCTGGGGTCAAAATTGGCCCCGCCCCGGGGGTCATTGATTTTCTTTATATGTGTATAGCAAAAACTTAAAATCTTCTTTGAAAAAACCCAAATAGCTAGAGTTAAGATATTAAGCATGAAACATCTTCTAGTGAGTGTCTACAAAGTTTGTTCAAATAAAAGACCTGGGGTCAAAATTGGCCCCGCCCCGGGGGTCATTGATTTTCTTTATATGTGTATAGCAAAAACTTAAAATCTTCTTTGAAAAAACCCAAATAGCTAGAGTTTAGATATTAAGCATGAAACATCTTCTAGTAAGTGTCTACAAAGTTTGTTCAAATAAAAGCCCTGGCCCGGCCCCAGGGGTGTCATTGTTTTTAACTATATGTGTATAGTAAAAACTTAAAAAAAATCTTCTTTTAAAAAGCCCAATGAGCTAGAGCTTAGATGTTTAGCATGAAACATCTTCTTATGGGTGTCTACCAAGTTTTTGCAAATAAAAGCCCTTGGGTTAAATTGGCCCTGCAACGTTGGGGGTGGGGGTTTGGGGGGGCCTATATACAGGTGAGCGACCTCAGGGCCATCATGGCCCTCTTGTTTTAAATTAATTAAGACATATTCAGTAAGAATTGTACAGATTTCAATAAATTTGTGCAATAAAAATATTTTACTAAAAGATGAGCATAGTATATCTAATGAATATTCTTTTGAATTATATGTATATCCTAAATTTAATTATGTTTTTTTTATCTAGCTATTAACAGCGAGTTATATTGTCGTTACTAAATTTTAATTCAAAGCTATCATTGTCCCCCGCCTTTTCGAAGAAAAAAGGGGGATATAGAAATAGGCTCCGTCCGTCTGTCCGTCCGTCCGTCTGTCCGTCCGTCACACTTTCGTGTCCGGTCCATAACTTTGTCATTTATGAAAGGAATTTGAAATAACTTGGCACAAATGTTTATTATAATAAGACGATGTGTCATGCGCAACAACCAGACCCCTACCTCCAGGGTCAAGGTCACACTTGCTCATTCAAGGTCAACATTGCCTTTTTGAGGGTATATGTCGTGTCCGGTCCATAACTTTCTTATCTATGAAGGGTTTTTGTAAATACTTGCCATAATT